GGGTCGTCGTTAACGATCGTTAACGAAGGGTCGTCGTTAACGATCGTTAACGAAGGGTCGTCGTTAACGACCGTTAACGAAGGGTCGTCGTTAACGATCTTTAACGAAGTTTGTCGTTAACGATCGTTAACGAAGGTCTGTCGTCAACGATCGTTAACAAAACGACGAATTTTGTAAAAACGATCGTTTTTAAAAACGAGCGTTTTGAAAAACGATCGTTTTAAAAACGAGCGTTTTGAAAAACGATCGTTTCAAAAACGAAAATTTTTAAAAAAAACGAACTTTTTAAAAAACGATCGTTTTTAAAAACGATCGTTTCGTTTTCGATTTTTCGTCGTCGTTATCATAACGAAACGATCGTTTTTCTGAAAAATGAAAACGTTAACATCCCTATGTACAGATCATCTTATAACAATCTCTAGAAATATACACTGTACTGATCATCTTATAACAATTTCTAGAAATATACAATGTACAGATCATATTATAACAATCTCTAGAAATATACACTGTTCAGATCATCTTATAACAATCTTTAGAAATATACACTGTACAGATCATCTTATAACAATCTCTAGAAATATACACTGTACTGATCATCTTATAACAATCTCTAGAAATATACACTGTACTGATCATCTTATAACAATCTCTAGAAATATACATTGTACTGATCATCTTATAACAATATCTAGAAATATACACTATACAGATCATCTTATAGCAATATCAAGAAATACACACTGTACAGATCATCTTATAACAATCTCTAGAAATATACAATGTACAGATCATCTTATAACAATCTCTAGAAATATACACTGTACAGATCATCTTATAACAATCTCTAGAAATATACACTGTTCAGATCATCTTATAACACTCTCTAGAAATATACACTGTACTGATCATCTTATAACAATTTCTAGGAATATACAATGTACAGATCATCTTATAACAATCTCAAGATATATACACTGTACAGATCATCTTAGAACAATCTCTAGAAATATACACTGTACAGATCATCTTATAACAATCTCTAGAAATATACACTGTACAGATCATCTTATACCAATCTCTAGAAATATACACTGTTCAGATCATCTTATAACAATGAATATTTACTGTTCAGATCATCTTATAACAATCTCTAGAAATATACACTGTATTAAAATATTACAGCTAAATAGTTTTTAAGAGATGGAACAAAAAACGATAAATATGACTTTAATAGTTTTAATAATTATTTACAAAAATTATTTGAGTTCCCTAAAAGTCCAACTTCAGCAATAAAAACCCTCAAAAAAGTGAGAAATAATTTTTATAAAAAAACGAAGTCATGTTCACTGCTTAAAACTTGCCTTTAAACAGAAAGACTTTCCAATTTCCATATTTACACCATGTGTAGTGTGTGTAGTGTGAACTCTTTCCTAATTTTTTCTCCATATTTCTGAAAAAAAAGTTAAATCACTCACAAATATTTTCAGTTAATAGATTAGACGGATAAAACTAACTTGGTGTTTAATCAAAAAAAAAACTTATGATTTGTGTAGCATGATATTCTAAAACAGGATATAGAATCTTAAAAGAATACTTTGAAATATAGAAGTTAATTAAAATGTTAATCAATCTGTTGGCAAGAAAGGTTAAGAAATATTAAATATGGAATGTATGCTTACATCTAAAAATTGTTAAACTGGTTGGAAGATTTTAGAAAAATACAAAAATTAAACCAATTACATTACTATTTGTTACCAAACTTATTACAAAAAAAATCAATCTTTCACAAAATATCAATTAAAAATATTTTTTAAAAACTTTTAACATTTTAACATTTTTTCATTTATGGGTTGAGAACTTGAGATTACAGCAGATTCTTGAGATTATGTGCTCTCTCTTTCTCCTTCTTGTCCAAAAATAACTCTTAACTCTCAAAAAAGAAGTCAATGAATAATTGACAAAGGATTAATCAAGAAATAACAATGAGCAATAAAGGAGTTCACTAAGAAATTACAGATTATATAATTTTCTCTGTTTGCGCAAGCTAATAAGTAATGATGTTGTAAAATAGCAAGAAACATTCAATGAACTGGTAGTTTGCATGAGAATGTGGGATGTAGCAAAATTAGATTGCCACATTTTCTCCATTGATAAACTTTCAAATTCAGTTTTTAATAAAACTAAATTCAATGTCCCATTTGTACTCGTTTACTGTGTTTGGCAATAAACACTTCCTTTCCATAAATTCGACACTGATATCAAGTGTATATCCTTCTCTCCTGGCATCCTTGATTTCCATTTCAATAGGAGTACACTCTCCACTCATAGACCTAGAGAACTCTTTTCCTGTATTGGAGACCTTGAGATTATAGCTGAATGCTTCCTTCCTATTTTCCGCACTATAATGCTTCATCCAAAACACCAGTTTATCTTCCAATCTATCAGTACAGAGTAAAAACCAATTCTCAGAGGATTCAAGCTTGTATGCAATTCGCATACAGGATTCTATCGAGTGATTAAAATTACGGACAGTCCACTTCTCATCAAACTTCAGATCTTCAATTGAAAAATCTAGTTCAGTACAATTACGGAAGTGATCAGGAATTGTACGTGCTTGAATCATCTCCTTACATCCTGGACACATGAGTTCTCTGTATTTGCATTCTCCCTTCTCATGGTTAACAATTTTATTCTTCTTGAGTTTGATGGTGCAACCCTGATCCATGAATATGCAGGGTACTGCCAAAAGATCTGCGATGTTCTGGGTTAGAGGAGAGAACATGTCGTCTTCCATCCTTGTTCTACAGACAGGACAATTTCGACTAAAAAAGGTTTAACAGATTTAACAATAATTCAATAATTTGTTAAGTTTCTTTTCTCATAAATACTATGACTTTAAATAAAAAAAATTTGAGAATAATTGCATATTCAATTACTTTAAAATTTATTGTTCAAATCCGTCCTGGGACTTAGGGATAATGTAAAAAACATTGAAATATATTTTCTACCTTGAAGTTGTGCATTCTACAGATAGAAAATGTATTTAACGTTTTAGGATTTTACAGAAATTATCTTGTGCATTCAAATGAAAATCAAAAGTTAGAATAGAACAATTCTGAGGCCCTTTTTTATTGATTTTTTTTACCTTTTACATGTCTCACAAGTGGTATGTCCATTCCTGCAGATAGGAATTCTCTTATTTCTTGGGATCATGAGACAGACAGGACAAGTGACTTCTCTTCCCAGATAATCCAGAATATCATCTTTCTCTTTTTCAGATTTTTCCACCATAGATGTCAAGTCACTGATCTCTTTAATAGATCTTTCATTTATTGTATTAGCTTCAGTTAGTTGTTTCTCTAGTTCCAATATTCTTTTCTTGAGATTGTGGTTCTCTTCTTCTCTCAGGTCATCCTTGTTCATGTTCTCCTCCCTGTCATGCATGTTCTCCTCTCCGTCCATGTTCTGAGGTTCACCAGTGGTTTTCCTAAGATAAACATTCCATGTTAATACTTGATATGTTTTCGCTAAATATATTATGTAAAGCTGGTCAAAAATGTACAACAGTTAAACGATGAATTTAGAAATATTAAACAGATATTTTTAAAGAATAAACCACAAAAAAACTATAAGCCCGAGTTGACACTTGGTACTTAAAAAAATTAAATAATGAAATAAAAATTTCCAAAATTTACAAATCCATTTAGAATTGGCGAAATCATCACTTTGCTCAACAATCAATAGCCATTGGGTATAGATAACCAAAGTGTTTGACCCAAGCATATAACCAGGTGTAAACTAAGGCTTGAGCGTACGGAAGGTTAGGCTTTTATGTTTAAAACTTCAACAAAACAATAGACAAAAGTTTCACTTGAAACCTGAAGTCATTTTAAGAAAATTGAGACTATATAGAACCCATAAAGACTTATGTAAGTGAAGGAGCTCAGCCCTGTTTTCATTGTATTGCAACATACAGGTCGTTGTACTTTGTCTGCAGGTTGATTGTTAACAATAATAATAATAATATAATAAATAGCGAAAAGTAACTGAATCACGCGAACATAGTTCAACCACTTCTCTTGTACTCTGGTTAAACCACGTCAGCAGTTCAACCATGTCTTGCTATTCATTATATCTGGTCCCTGGAAATAAGCATATTATGCACATACAGGGTGTCCTACGAAACATACACGCCCATTTATAGTTGAAGCAACAGGAAAATATTCATGATTCAGAAGAACTTACCGTTTTACAGAATTATTTATACAGTCTTCATCATCATTTTTCCTTTTATTTGATCTCGAGTCCATGTTTCTGAAATAAAGATTTTTTTTTAAACTAACTTTACGTAAAAGAAGAAAAAAATTCAAAACTTAAAATGTTACTTAAGCACTTCACTGGGTGCTATAATAGATTCGCAAACGATTTTCAACAGTTATTTCATATATAAAAAATGGCATTAAAAGATACAAATTTTTATTTGACTAAACCAATCTTTGTTTAAATCGCTTTACTCTACTAGAATCTTATCTTACCCTAAAAATATTCATAACAGTGATCGATATATGAAAACATATTTTTTTCAAGAAAAGCTTTCTCAATTTATTGTTTAATCTTAAAGATGCAAGCTCTGTAATGACTGTGATCAGTTTCAAACAAAGATAGGAGGAAAAAATAATTTTCAATGCAGAATGAAATGTGATAATTATCAACAAAATAGAAGTAGCTGAACCACACAGACTTTGCCCAAACACTTCTCTTGCAACAACTTAAGTTGAACAGAAGTAGTTGAACCACGGTCCACACGGGTCAACCATGTCTGACTATTCATTATTTTGCTCTCAGAGATAACATTTTTTGACATTTTGCTCCTTTTCTTCAATCTACATCTGGAAGTGAGTTTAGTCTGAATGATAATTGCTTCATGTGCATCTTCAGACTTCATTCATTCTTCAGTAGTTTACTACAGAGAGTACATGGAGTGGGATGATCCAAATGTTTGGCTTTAGCATGTCTTCTTGCATTACTACGATCTGCAAACTGACTTCCACATATTTTACATTCAAACCTAGAGAATATAACATATAATCTAGGGGCAAGATAACAAATGACCCCCCCCCCCCCTGAATACACTACTGAATAAACAACTCAAGCAGTTTATACCAATCTTCTTCTATAACCTTTAGACATTTATTAAACTGTACAAATCTTATTTTAACAATCTTTAGAAATATACACTGTACAGTGTACAGATCATCTTATAACAATCTCTAGAAATATACACTGTACAGATCATCTTATAACAATCTCTAGAAATATACACTGTACACTGTACAGATCATCTTATAACAATCTATAGAAATATACACTGTACAGATAATCTTATAACAATCTCTAGAATATACAATGTACAAATCATCTTATAACAATCCCTAGAAATATACACTGTACAGATCATCTTATAACACTCTCTAGAAATATACATTGTACAGATAATCTGTTAACAATCTCTAGAATATTCACTGTACAGATCATCTTATAACAATCTCTAGAAATATACACTACAGATAATCTTATAACAATCTCTAGAAATACACTGTACAGGTCATCTTATAACAATCTCTATAAATATACACTATACAGATCATCTTATAACAATCTCTAGAAATATGCACTGTACAGATCATCTTATAACAATCTTCTCCCTTCTCCTTGCCAGAAACAAGAAAATAATAGTGCAGAGAAGGAGGGGTTTCTCTATGCTTCTCTTCCCCCTTATCTCTTGCCAGAAGAAACAGGATCTCTGTAAATCTTGGATTTGAATCCTAATGGGTGTGCACCATGCACTACGATACCAGTTTATACTCTGCCGGCTGCAAGGAAAAGATTGTAGACGAGCCTACGAGGCTGTATTCTGAAGCACTGTATTCAAGATGAACTTACAAGAACCAAAATTCTTTTTTTTCGAAAATATCCACTCCATTCCTAACCTTTCTTATCCCATTTTTCATTATGAAGGTTAAATTTTGACAATTAATATCCTCAGAATTTTCAAATCCCCCTCTTAGAGCAGTGAACTTTTTTTCTTCAGCCTGTATAAGAATATTGAACGATGAATATGAACCTGAACCTTCCAGATGGATCCTTTCCATATTATCCTTCTGTTACAAGACCAGAAATTATTTTAAAAATCAAACTGACAACTAAATAAGGTAAAAAGTTCCGGAAGAGAAAAGAAATCAAAAAGTAAACAATTATGAAAGATTTTAAAAAGAGGAAGAAAACTATAAAAACAAGAGAAATCGTAGCTCAAAGTCCGATTAGTTTCCCTTTACAATTTTCCCTAACGAGAAAAAATGTACAATGAATATTTTATGAGTATGCGCAATAACTTTTACCTTTTACATGTCTTACAGGTGGTGTGCCCGTTTCTGCAGATAGGTATCCTCTTGGTTCTTGGGATCAAGAGACAAACAGGACAAGTGACCTGGATTTCAAGAAAGTTTAAAACTTCACATTTCTCCTTCTGTGATGCTTCTTTCATTGATCTGTCATCATTCAGCTGTTTCTCTAGTTCTAAAAATCTTTCCTCATTTTTTTTCTTTCTCATTATTTATTTGTTTCTCTAGTTCAAAAATCTTTTTTACAAGATCTTGATTTTCTCTATTAGATTTCTCCTTCTTTGATATCTCATCATTCATCTGTTCCTCCAGATCAGCTTTCTGTTTGTCTACTTTCTCTTTCATTGACTCCTCAGTGGAAACCTTTTCCTCCTCTTCACTAGAGTTATTCTCTTCTCCAGTGGAGTATTCATCCTTCTCCCCTCCACTGGAGACATTTTCCTCTTCACTTGAATCACTCTCCTCAATGTTCGAGTCTTCCTTTAAACTCTGAATCCTAGTAATTAAGCCCTCATTAAATATATTAAAATAATATACTACAGTAAATCTTTAAGCTGACCTCTTATTTTCACATTTTTCTTCATCTAACATTTTCCTTTTTCCAAATCTTTGCTCCATGCTTCTGAAAGATACCTTAATACAACTTAAATCAATAAAAAAGGACAGAAATAATGATCGCCAAAAAATGAGTTAATCTACATAGTTTAAGAATGTGAAAGATCAGTGCAAATTCTCCCAATACACAACGCAAGACAAGTTTGAAAGTGATCTGGAAGTTTACATTGCTTGGATGAATTCTCCTTACATCCTGGACACATAAGTTCTCTACATACATCTGCAAGCTTCCTTCTTGTGTTCCAATATTTCATTTATCTAGAGTTTGATGTTTCAATCCTTATCCATGAATATGCTAGGTACTTTCAACAGATCTGTGATGTTCAGAGTTAGAGGAGAGAACACGTTTTTTCCCCTCCTAGACAGGACAATGTGACCTAAATAAACAAAGTAAAGATTACTTGAGCAAATTGATTATGTAAAATAAAAAAAATAAAAATCCAGAAAAATATTTTACTTTTTTTTCTAATTGCATTTTTGGGGGGAAGACACCAACCGAATCAACCCCCCTTCCACAAAATCAAAATTTGGGTAGTTTTATCGGTGTGCCCGTGTAAGCTTGACAAACATTTAGACTTCTGAGCTTTGCAATCAGAACATTAGTTTTTTCAGTTTGGTTTTTAAAATCAGAATTAAATTTTTTTTTTTTATGAAACTCGTACGCCGCGCCGGTCACAGATGCATGATAAAACTAATCTGAACTGCATATTTTTTCAATGCCCATTGCCCGGTGCATGATTTATGACAAATCAAATGAAAAATTGTCAATAATTTAAACAGCACAGGAGTTAAGGAGGAATGTCCACAATTTTCATAAAATGCTGCAAAAATTGTCCAGGAAAAGTCACGCCTCTAATTTAAAGCTATTTTTGAGATTTTGCAAGAAAGTAAGATTAGTGATTAACTCAAGAAATGTATTTTCAAAATGTGATAATTAAAAATTCTAAATTTTTCCAATGTTTAAAATGCTTTCCCCCCCCCCCCTTCCTTTGTTTCTGGTCATTTTTTCCTTAAAAATTGAATTTGGGTTCAGTAATATTACATTGTCTATACGCAACATCCCCCCTACTGAACATCTGACCTGCTAACTTTCCGACCATTCTGCAATATCGGACCTACGCCATTTATCATTTGAGGGTAGGGTTAGGTTAGGTCAATTTCTGGGGCGAGCGCTGCGGCTAGGACAGGCCAGGGCACTGTGGCCACATGTCCATAAATATAATGGCGTCAAAAAAATTCCCTTTTAAATTTTTTAATTAATTTTTCCCACGCGCCATCAATGACAAAATCAGTAAAAAGGGTGTAATCAGAGGCGTAATGGGGGGGCCCTGGACCAGTGAAAGCTATGGATTTTTTGGGGCTTTTCAGGCCCCCACGGGTGTTGAGTTCCCCTGGAAAGAAAAAATTAAGCCCCCACCCCCTGGAAAGAAAAAATTAAGCCCCCCTGGAAAAATTCCTGAATACGCCCCTGGGTGTCATCCTTTTTTCAAAATAATCCTCAGAGAATTTGCAGGGAAACTAATTATTATTTGGAGGGGAGGGGGGGCGGATTTTTCAAAACTTGCTGTTTTGGCTGTTTTTATCTGTATTCTCGTTACGCAGAACTGAAAACTAAGATGCTGAAAATTAATAGATTTCTACTTGAATTTAAATTACAATTCTGTATTTTTTTAAACACAAGCGAAAACACTAAGCGAGTCACAAAAAAGTTTGTTTATGGATTTTAAGATTATTTTCAAGATTGAAAAAGATTTAAGGATAATATTTAAAATCGAGCTTGCCACTATGTAAATGAACGCTCCTCTAAAATTACGTTTACTATTTCTCAGGTACTAATATTCAACATAAAATATTTAATATACGTTATATAAAGGGGTCCCATGAAACATGACAGTTGCTTAAATAGTTTTGAATGTAGTCTTCCATACACTGAAACAGGTATTACTAGCTGTTTGCAGTTTACTTCGTTGAAAAAATCTTTTGCTCAAATATATTTTACTTTGAAGTTAATTTTACTATAACAATACGACTCCTATATAATATTTTTATTATCGTCTTTGGTATTAAACAACTAAACAAATTATGGAAGAAGACATTCTTAACTATTTAAACTTATGGAAGAAGACATTCTAATTATCATGTTTCGTAAGGCACCCTGTAGTATTGCGACAACATGAAGCTTTAGATGTTTATTAACTAGTTGCAAAACCCTCTCCAGAAATAAAATATAAATTTGGCATATTATTTGACAAAATCTTCAAAATCAATGTATTTAAGTCCTATTTTCCTTAATTATTTCTCAAGTTATGAATGAACCATCTTAAATTACCTATAGCTCCTACAAAAACGGTGCTTGGATTCAAGTTGAAGTTCAAAAGTTTATATACATGAAAGATAAACATAGCAAATGGAAAAAGTAGGAAATAAATTCTTATTTTTATCAATCATTAATTTACACTTCATAAAAATATCTAGTTTGAGTAACCTACCTTTAATTTTAATCCTTTAAGTTTAGTCGGAAAAAATTTTCTTTGTTTTTTGTCGAATAAAAATCTGAAACAAAGAATTACACATAGTTTACAGATTTAAAAATTAATTATATGGTGAACGATGTAAACTAAAATCAGAGGTGCATAGGATAAAAGATTATTTCAAAAAAAGTCGAAAAAAAACTGTGACATGCCACGATCTCAAGCTTCAGTTGCAGCTTTGATTTACAAACAATGATTTAACATATGTTTAAAAAAAATACATTCTCAGCTTTAAGTTTAAACTAACTAATGTTGAACAGATGATTGTTTACAAAACACAAGAACGTGTTCTCCAATCCTGCCTTCAGGAAGATGAGAATGGAAGAAGGTTTGGCAGAGTTTATAACTCCTTAAGAACTCTGATATTTGACCCTGTAAATTGTTGAAGAGGATTACAAGATCAGGATTTAAGTTGATCTGCTCCAACCATAGCTCAGGGTCAGAGTAGAACCTGTCAGCTTCATCCATATACCCTGGAGAACTAGTCAGGTTCGGTTCACAGTGCAGAAACCTAAATTATCATCTGAGTTTCTCATAAAGGGATTTTATATTTCAACAAAAGTTGTATTTTTGTAGAATATTTACCTTTTGTTTAAGTTTCTAGGGATATCGCTGTATGTATAGTAGATTGTTTACTTAGTACTAATGTTTGTATGGATATGTCTGTATGTATAGTAGATTGTTTATTTAGTACTAATGTTAGCATGGATATGGTTGTATTCAAAAGAATGTTTACTTACTACTAATGTTTGCATGGATATGGCTGTATATAAAAGAATGTTTACTTACTACTAAAGTTTGCATGGATATGGCTGTATATAAAAGAATGTTTACCTAGTACTAATGTTTTAATAAATATGGCTGTACGAAGAAGAATTTGTTTACCTAGAACTGATGTTTGTATGGATATGGCTGTATAAAGGAGTAGAATGTTTACCTAGTGCTAATGTTTGTATGGATATGGCTGTATAGAGGAGTAGGATGTTTACCTAGTACTAATGTTTGTATGGATATGGAGGAGTAGAATGTTTACCTAGTACTAATGTTTGTATGGATATGGCTGTATAAAGGAGTAGAATGTTTACCTAGTACTAATGTTTGTATGGATATGGCTGTATAAAGGAGTCGAATGTTTACCTAGTACTAACGTTTGTATGGATATCGCTGTATGTATAGTAGAATGTTTACCTAGTACTAATATTTGTATGGACATGGCTGTATAAAGGAGTAGAATATTTATTGTTTACCTATTACTAATGTTTGTATGGAAATGGCTGTATAACGGAGTAGAATATTTACTTAGTACTAATGTTTGTATGGATATGGCTGTATAGAGGAGTAGGATGTTTACCTGGTACTAATGTTTGTATGGATATGGCTGTATAAAGGAGTAGAATGACATGGCATCAGGAAGAGAACACTCATTTCTTTGTTACCAATTTCTGTTTCTGTAAAAAATTACATTAAAGCAAACCAAAGAAAAAATTCAGGGGTATTTTTCACAGAATTAATCTCTCGGAGGAAATGGTCTTTGAGGCTTTGAAAAATATTGCAAACTTTTGGCATAGTTTTAATATTTCTCCCCCATTTCTCAACCCCCCCCCCCCCCGGAATTAAAATAAAGTGGAAAAAATTATCTTTGTTTTAAATCGGGGGGGGGGGGGATTAATAACATACAGGAACAATATAATGTATAATTGTTCAAATAAATATTCTAAATACTAAGTGATCTTACTATAGTGTGGGATGGATATCACTGCGTCCACTACTCCCCTCTGATGTACTATGGACAGGTAGAGAGTCAACAGAATATTCATGAACAAGAACACTATCTTTATCATCCTGAACATGTTCAAGATAGTAAGCAGTATATTCATGAACAAGAACACTATCTTTATCATCCTGAACATGTTCAAGATAGTCAGCATTATATTAATGAACAAGAACACTATCTTTAACATTCTGAACATGTTAATTTAAAAAATGAAAAACACGATCTTTTTCATCCTGAACATATTCTAAATAGTCAAATGGTAAAAAATTAAACAAGATCATAATTAAGGAATTCCAGTTTTTTTTTTTTACAAAATTTCACATTTTTTTCACACAGTCCAACCATAACATATTAAAAAAAGATTTTACATTTAGGAATTCCAGTTTTTTTTTACAAAATTTCAAACCGTCTGCTACTATCATTATGACATAAGTCTCTGTAAAAGAAATTCATCTTGGACTCAGGGTGCACAGTGAACAGTGTACTGTGCTAAGTGTGCAGTGTGCAGTGTACAGTGTACAGTGCACAGTGCACGGTGTACTGTGCTCAGTGTGCAGTGTACAGTGTACAGTGTGCAGTGTACACCCAAAAAATGCCACATAAAAAAATTAGAGAAATGTAGCCACCAAAAACTAAGTCAATAAAATCTGCAACAAATAATTTCTCCCTAAAATTTGGCAAAAAATCAAACTTTACTGCCTGAAAAGTTCCAAATTCTAAATATCTAACCTTTGCCTAGCTCTGGAAAGACCACATAACTGCTCAGATATGATAATCACAAGGAAAGGAAGACTTGACTGTAGAAACCGGATTTCCTGAAACATTAAAAGAAATTGCTTTTTCCATCTCTCCTTAAAAAAGCAGATTATGCTTCTAACATATAGTATTATTAAATATCCGGGTTCCACAGGTTTAAGCTCTAAATGATATTAGTGCATTAGTGGTTCAGCCAAGAATGTTTTCAGTGAATAAATGATAAATTATACTTCTGAATGATTCTCCTTTATTAGCAAACTAGCTGAAGTGCCCGGCGTTTCCCGAGAAATATTTTAAAATAAAAATTGTTTTTTGAAAACAAATTCGATCTTTTAGTCTAGGTTATCCCTGGGTACCCATGGGTTCCCTTAAAAAAACTTCAGCCAATTTGGGCAGTTTACTTCGTTGAAAAAATCTTTTGCTCAAATATATTTTACTTTGAAGTTAATTTTACTATAACAATACGACTCCTATATAATATTTTTATAAATATGTATGCATGAGCGAAGAGCTTTATTATATAGATAGATGAAATAAACCTTATGCGGAAGAAGAGAAAGGCAGACCAGGTTCACCCCAAGTGGGAGGAGAAGATATAAAGGGGCGTGTCTGAATCCTGGAACAAGGAGGAGGAGTAGAGGACCAAGTAGAGAGGGGAGGGCGGAAGAAAAATACCAATGCCAGGGGTGGGTTCCGTATATTTCGCCTAAAACAATTAAAATATATAAAAGGGAGTGCTATCTGAGACAAATAGACACAGATTGTTTAAATAGCACATAGGTCCGATATTGAAATTTTTCTGTAAATGTAATATTTAAATAGATAATATAGAAAGAAGTATTGGACATCAATGGGCAAGTTTCCCCCATTAGTGATACTTTTTGACTAAAATTCAAAGATTCCACATAATACCCATCTTTTTTCCATATTCAACATTAAACAACTAAAACATTTCTCAAGTTTTCTAAGCATGCTTAAACAAAAAGATTTAAAGATTTTTCATCTCTTCACCGGGCCCGATTCATATTTTCTGCTTTCCCTAACCGAACAAAACAAACTTTAACATTTTTTCAACTATTCCACCCATAACATATTAAAAAAAAATTTAACATTGTTTAGCTATAATTATTTAAATAAACATCGTAGACAAATTTTAATCCTTAGAAATCTGGCCCCATTCCTACATAATATGTTTACCTAGGTTCTTGTATACGTTTATATAGAAGAAGTTGAAGTTGACGAGGGTTGGCTGGGAGTAGAATATAGAATCAATAGAAACACATAGTATGACCACAAGGACAGAGAGGAGTACCCAGGGAACCAGGGATAGAAGACCTCTGTATCTAATATAATTATTTTTAACAAATATTCTTCAAAATTAATAAATGAATAGAATTTCTTTTTCGTATCCTTAATTAGAATAAAATTAGAAAATGTTTTCATGTGAAATAATGCCTTTAAACGTAAATAATGAGCTTTCTTGTGGAAAGGAAGACGACATTACATCAATACTTAAGTGTATTTGATATTGTTACAAAGCAAACAGTTTTATCAGACACTTAAAATCACTTTTAAGTGAAACGGGTCTGCGATTTCTATGGAATATTTAAAGTCATAAGTAAAGTCTAAAAGTCATCTTATTATTTTCGAGTTTTCTGGTTATTAACAACCCGTGAAGTAGGAGTCGGCCTATGAATATGAACCCATATTGAATACATACCTAAAAGATGATTTGAGATGAAGTATAACTAGAGGAATCCAGATTAGGGCAGATGTTGGTCGGAGCATAAAACACAGAGCAATTACAGGCAGATATAGTTCTCCAGGGTATTTAAACCTTCTAGGTTTAGAATCCTAAACAAAGAGTATAAAACACAGAGCAATCACAGGCAGATATAGTTCTCCAGGGTATTTAAACCTTCTAGGTTTAGAATCCTAAACAAAGAGTATAAAACACAGAGCAATCACAGGCAGATATAGTTCTCCAGGGTATTTAAACCTTCTAGGTTTAGAATCCTAAACAAAGAGTTTAAAACACAGAACAATCACAGGCAGATATAGTTCTCCAGGATATTCAAACCTTCTAGGTTCAGAATCCTGAAAAAAGAGCATAAAACACAGAGCAATCCCAGGCAGATCTAGTTCTCCAGGGTATTTAAACCTTCTAGGTTTAGAATCCTGAACAAAGAGTATAAAACACAGAGCAATCACAGGCAGATATAGTTCTCCAGGGTATTTAAACCTTCTAGGTTTAGAATCCTGAACTAAGAGTATAAAACACAGAGCAATCACAGGCAGATATAGTTCTCCAGGGTATTTAAACCTTCTAGATTTAGAATCCTGAACAAAGAGAATGGAGCAGGAATATTTGTTAATACAAGATAATTATAAGATTTGTATGATCGGACGGTCTAACCGACAAAGATACTGTCTGTGATGTTAAAATGATGTTAAAATGATGGTAAAATGATGGAAAAATCATCTTAAAATGATGTTAAAATCATGTTAACATGATGTTAAATTGATGTTAAAATGATGGTAAAATGATGTTAAAATGATGTTAAAATGATGGTAAAATGATGGTAAAATGATGTTTAAAATGATGTTTAAAATGATGTTAAAATTATGTTTAAAATGATAATAAAATTATGTTAAAATGATGGTAAAATGATGTTTAAAATGATTTTAAAATGATGTTAAACTGATAATAAAATGATTTTAACGAGCTAAAACTACCAAGTTACCTGTCTCGTCAAGGTTATGTATAAAGCCAAGGCTAGAGAGGTCAGACTATACTCCAGACTGTTGATCAAAGTCCTAGATCATTAATTTTTTACTAATTTTTTATTTAAACAGGTATCTCAAACTTTGTTTTTTTAATAAAGAAGACACTTCGAAAAATGCTCCGGGGCATAACTTAATCTGGTAAATTTGGGCGGCTTAAGTCTTCCTCCCCATGTACATCCTTGAAATCATCTCTGGATTGTTCAGCAGATTGACCCATCCAACATCTTAGAACAAAACCCTTCAGCTTATAACTTAAAATTTCCCTTTCATATTTAACATTATAACTTTGTTTTACAGGATCTTATATTTTGATTTTGGTTTTAACAGTAACTCTGACATTAATACCTAAAATGGCCATCCTATAAACTTAAAAACTTCCCAATTAACAAAAAAAAAAAAAATTAGAGTTTACAAAGATTGTTAAAAAATACTGTTTAACTATTAATACGGAAAACTATCTTTAATTTCATTTTGTGTTTGCTAGATTTTGAGGTTAGCTAACGTAGAACAAAGAAATATGTTAATGTAAAGGGATTAATAAAGTGGCCCAACTGGTTTCAGAAAAAGGGAAATTATATAGTTATAAGAGATACAAACTGTAAAAATCACCAAATCTTTGACAAAACTACAGCCACACGTGGCTAGTTTTAATTGAAAATAAAGAAGATATGTAAACCCATGTTTCTAAGTTTTGAGGGTTGAACAACAACGTTGTGATTTAAAAGTGTCACTTTTTTCTTTCTATTTGTAATCTAGTTAACTAGTGATTGAAAACTAGAACTGTGGGTAAATATGAAAAAAGTTCTAAACCTGCTGCCCGAATACAGGGTGTGCCAGTTAAACAGGGTTATCAGGAGAAACCAAGATCCAACCCGTTCATTTTGACCAATCACCCTGTAGAGACAATATTCACTAAGTCCAGTTATTCCTCCCTATCAGATACAACATTAAGAAAACACATTTCCAAACTAATATAACTGGAATTCAATATGTACCACTTATTTTTGTGGGAATATCGACAGAGACATATTGTAATTTAATATAACAGGCTCCAAACTAAGCTCTTCGTTATTTCAACGTTCTAGGAAAACGATGCAGAAAAAACATCAATCAGCTTAATTGAAGAAACACTCAAATATTTTTTTCCCAATTGAAAAAATATTCAAATGTTTTGATAAAAAAAAATATTCAAATATTTTTCCATCACTTAATTTGTTTTCAGAAAAAACGGCGAAAAAAATCTAAATTTGAAGTGTTCTGTATACGTGCAGCTAACTATTTATAGAACCTTCTCTACATATATAAAGTGAAAAGAAATAAAATTTTAGGCAAAGCATCAAAAATGTGCCCATCATTTCCACCATTCTGGGGGTTCTTTACAAATTCTTAATAGTTTTTATAATACCCATGAATTATTACAAAAAATGAATAGATTAGGAAACTGATTATATCTGTGCCTGCATGAGTTTAGGGAGAAGAACAACCATGAACTGTGAGTCTAGTCCTGTAAGTTTAAGAAGAAGAAGAGGAAGAGAGAAGAGTAGAGGATGTAAACTAGATCTAATCTTCTCATCCCACTCCCAGGTTCGGTATCCGACTCCATAAACTACATCGTGAGATACCTGGATATTAATTTATAACTTAAAAACTAAAAAAATGTAATTCATATATAATATATATATATATGTTTGTCTATTTGTGTTATCCAATAAACTTCAAAACCTCAAAAAAACTGGACCAACATTTTTTGATCACCTCACACGACATCAGGGAAAGTTGATTGCCACTCGAAATTAAGAAAATCCACGAAGAATTTAAATCACATCTGATCTGATGAACAAAATGCAAAGATTGTTTTTCTTATTAGAAAGAATAAGAAAAAGCGCCCTGTACGCACAAATTCAGGGGTGTATATAATTCCATTTCCCCCCCCTCTGGGTGGGGAAAGAAATCAAAGGTCACAAAAGAGGGGAAGGGGAAGGGAAGGGGAAGGGAAGGAGAAGGGAAGGAGAAGGGAAGGAGAAGGGAAGGAGAAGGGAAGGGTAATTCTATTGAGAAAGTTGAAAAGCAACTTAGTGAGGTATGTGAGGACAACTTTACATCCTTGGAAAAACGATTTAAACATACTTCACTTGTAAAGGCTTTTCATAGAACAGAGTGGGCTGAAAACACCAGTGAAGACATGCTAAAAACAAGTGCCAGAGTACATCTAGAGGAGATGGTTGAAAATCTTATAGAAGACAAACTTCAGGAGAAGTTCAGGATAGCCTTCTGCAGACATTCATTCAATTCCTGACATTTAAACAAAAATTCTGATCAGCAGTCCTTGGTAGTGTTATATCAACTGTTCCAAAAGAATTAAAAGCAGAGTTTGTCAGCAGAGTCTAGATTCTTTGACCTGTTTGAACATGTTAATATCAAATCATATACTCAAGCCTACTGTGAAAGTGTGGGATCCCTCATGAATATACTTGTTAATAAAGGAAGAAACCTCACATCAAGCTTTTTCTCAAGAGAGCTTATCATAGCTTTTAATGCTCCTCCTCTTCATATCTTAAAGAAAAAAATCATCACTGAAATCAGGGATGAGTTTATGAAGGAGATAACCTTTGTAAGAAAGATGGACAACGCCAGACTTTCCAGACAATACTCCAAACTGAAGTTTGCAGATCTGTCTGCAACTCTTGGACAGTTACGGAAGAACCAAGAAAATCAGTCTCTTGTCCCTGTAGACTTTTTTACTGTTTAATTAAGTAAGAATAAGTAATTTTTTTAAGATGATACTGTAATAAATCTAAGAAGAGTTTAATCTGTCTTTTGAGTCGTCGAGTATGGGGAAGGAATTCAAAAAAAATATAGGGGGTGGGGAAAAAATAAAAAATATGAAATTATATACACCCCTGCGCACAATAGAAAAAAAAACATTAATTCGGGTTCGTTTACGTTTCATTTCGGTTCAATTCGTTTCATCTTGTTTTAACTCGTGTCGTTTACCGTCGTTTTCTTTAGTTTCATGTCGGTTTTTTTCAGGATTTGTTTAATTGTTTTCTACCTCGACACTCTGCCATGTTTCATCAGGAACATACCAGGTTTGGGAGATCAATCCCATCAACAGCCTCACAAATAAAATCCGGCAAAGAATTTTCATTTTCGAGATTTTTTCCCGCTTTTATAGTTTTATAGTGTCAATTTCACTTAGTTAGATTACAACACAGTTTGTGAAGCACTTGTTATCACAGTTTTGTTTTTACAATTGTCACTTGTTTTTTGATTAGTTTTAAATGTTATGTTTGCCGTTTAGGAGGTTTGGTTGATGCAGTTCCGATTAAGGTTTTGATCATAAATCCGTTTTAGGTCCCATACTAAAATCCAACACAGATTCTTCAAATTATGTGCATTGTGTAATGTGTATTGTGTATGTATGTAATATGTATATTTTAAATGATTATTAAAAATTAATACACAGTTTAAATTGAAAATTTGAAAGAATTTCTATGAAATAATGTTAAATCTGTATTTTCCTGACAGGAATAGATTGAAGCTCTGTTCTCATACAGAGGAATTCTCCAGTAACACAGAGAATAGCAGTACACACTATATTGATCATCCACCTAGATATACAAGAATTAGTACTCTAGTACACAGAGGATATACCTTGACATATATAAAATCTAAAACTACAAGAACAAAACTAAAAACAAGTTTAAATCTAATTATTACTGCGACATTGCTAAAAGAAATAAAAATACTAAGGGAGGGTAAATCTGATTTCTAATTTGATATAACAGAATCTGATGAAAGAAATAAAAATATAAAGGGAGGGTAAATCTGATTTCTAATTTGATATAACAGAATCTGATGAAAGAAATAAAAATATTAAGGGAGGGTAAATCTGATTTCTAATTTGATTTAACAGAATCTGATGAAACAATTAATATTACTGAAATGATTGGTTAAAAGATAAAATTCTTACCAGGACAATGTGTAGGGAAGACTGGAGTTATACCAGACACAGATCACCTAAACAATAACAATATACCAGACACAGATCACCTAAACAATAACAATATACCAGACACAGATCACCTAAACAATAACAATATACCAGACACAGATCACCTAAACAATAACAATTTACCAGACACAGATCACCTAAACAATAACAATATACCAGACACAGATCACCTAAACAATAACAATATACCAGACACAGATCACCTAAACAATAACAATATACCAGACACAGATCACCTAAACAATAACAATATACCAGACACAGATCACCTAAGCAATAACAATATACCAGACACAGATCACCTAAATAATATCAATATACTAGACACAGATCACCTAAACAATAACAATATACCAGACACAGATCACCTAAACAATAACAATATACCAGACACAGATCACCTAAACAATAACAATACACCATATATATATATATAAAATGGTAAATATTGACATTGTCACACAATGTTTAGTAAACTTCAATAATATTTGTGCCAAGCATGACTCTTAAAGTCAGGGTTTGGCCAAGAACACCGTTTGAAATATTCTTTCACTGGGGTGAACACTATGACGTGAACTGTACAGTGTATTTGTATTTACCAGATGTAGAAGATGTACAGTACATGAGAAGTCAAGGCAAAGTTTAGTCCGCTGTACAACATACCACAGACCGACAGAACTAAATAAAAAAACTATTTGCATATTTACATACTCTCTTTTCATTTTGTTTATATTTTTTCCCCATTTTGTTTTTCATTATTTTGTTTCCGAAATGAAAATTTGTTGACTTGGCTTAATACACAAGCAAGAATACAAGCAATACACACTATTTCAAGTATAAATCGAAAGTTTTGCTTATTTTTTGTTAAATGGCAGACATTATTTTTTAGTAAAAAGGAAAAATTACCAGTTCAGAGCATTAAGGATGAATGCAGCAATCACTAGCTTTCCACTGAAACTTGCAGGTGCCAACGCCTAATCAATCAATCATTTACACAATCAATCAATCAACATTTTCAGGTAAACTTGTTACACAAAATCATTTAACTATTACTGAAATGGAATGGAATGAAAAAGATCGTGAAAGACCCCCAACGTGGGATCCCCAGACCGACATCCGAGAGAGGGCCTCCAGTCAGGTGCTGGTTACTGGTTTCAAATACTGAACAATTAGTCAATGAGAGGCATGCCCGTTACCAACTTGAAACCTTTGTCTAATAAATAATGTGTAAGATAACTTCGTTTTTCTAGCTCGAAAAGCTCGAAATTGGGCTAATTCCTACATTGTCTTCATGCAAGGTCCCTTTCGTAAAGAAACCACAGCTAAAAATAATCAATTTTCAAAATTTTAAACATCAATATCTTATTCAATATTCGCGATCAGGTGCAGGTTTGGAGGGTACCGTTGTGAATTGGACATACCACCATATTAAACTAATAAACAATAAAATTGAATCAAATGAATCGAAGATATTTTGATTTATTAAATATTTACCTGATATTTGAATATTTGATCAAGAGATCTACTTTCTCCCGTCATTAAATCAAACAAAGTTATCCATAAACCTAAAATATTTACACAATTTATTCTAATTCTTTTTTACATCATGATATCATACATCGTGCTAAGAATCCAATTCAGTTGAACAAAGTGTATGATAAGAACCAGTGCTTAGAATCCGGATCCGTTGGATCCGCAAGATTTTGGCGTCCTAGATCCGGATCCGCAAAAATATGCGGATCCACATATGCTTTAGGAAAAAACTTATCACCCTAAAATTAATTTATTTTCCCCAATTCTCAAAAAACAAAAATAAATGATTTTTCATGAAAATATACACTCCTGAACACTCACCTAGGCACACATAGAAGACAGATTGCAGTGTAACTATCTGACTAATTATCATGACAGGGTCCCAAACTGTATACCTAAACTGTCCAGCCATATTCTCTTCAGATCATTTTATCTGAAAACAAAATTACGATAAGAAAAAAATAGAAAGGATCAAGTTTTATATTGGACCCTTCGTATGTCACAAACATCGAAATAGAAAGTTAATAAAAAAATTGAAACAATTTTCAAATCCCGGACCAAAAAAAATAAAAGAATCATGACTCAGTAGCTTCTAAAAATAAAGTTGCAAGAGTAGCGACAGGTCAGAAATATACAAAAGAAATACAACACATAGATCTAAATAATATATCTGGATACAAGACTAGTATATGAGGATACAACTAAATCATATATCTAGATACAAGACTAGTATATGAGGATACAACTAAATCATATATCTGGATACAAGACTAGTATATGAGGATACAACTAAATCATATATCTGGATACAAGACTAGTATATGAGGATACAACTAAATCATATATCTGGATCCAAGACTAGTATATGAGGATACAACTAAATCATATATCTGGATACAAGACTAGTATATGAGGATACAACTAAATCATATATCTGGATACAAGACTAGTATATGAGGATACAACTAAATCATATATATGGATACAAGACTAGTATATGAGGATACAACTAAATCATATATCTGGATACAAGACTAGTATATGAGGATACAACTAAATCATATATCTGGATACAAGACTAGTATATGAGGATATCTCCTGGAATGATGCATATCGCTCTCTGAGAAGAATCCAAACCTCTCCTCTCAGAATCTCTTCCACCAAAACACCTCCAAAACAAAATTTCTAAGTGGGTAGAAAAGAGTAAAAGTAAAAATAGCACAGTGCGCCTGAACAAAATCAAGACTCATGAAATGTTTCAAATAAAGGTTGGTGGGGTTAGAAAATAGAAGTAAAATAATTGAGATCTTGTTGAGAAAACTCATGTTTTATAGATCTACTTGTATAAATTCCAAATGCTTTAGTTTTTCCCTATTTAAACCGTGTTTAAGGCCAGCTAGAATAATTGAAAAAATTGAAAGAAAATTAAATTATAAAGTATACTAACACTTTCATATAACTTGTTTATGTCCAACGATAATCATAATCAAAGTATATAAAAGTTACTAAATTTCATATCTTAAATTCCTAGAAAGGATACTTTTCACTGTAAAAGCGCTAGCTAGGGGTTCAGTAATGGCGCAGATTCCCTAATCAACGGGGATTTTGAAATAGAACCAACGAGGTTATAATATATAGAGTGATGATGTACGCTAATTCTTTACTAATTGTACAGGCCATGTACTTCGCTTCCAAAGGTCAATCTGTATATTACAGTACTCGGGGATGAGTTCTGAAAATATTTAAATGGAGAATTTGTTTTCCATGTAACTATTAAACTTTATCGTCTGCAGGATTCCATTTTCACAGAAAGATGTTTACAGTCTTTTACAGAGCAATATTTCATCGTTAATAACCTGTTCTGAGAAAACTGAGTAAAATTCAAGATACAAAACTTCCCCATACACTTGTACTCCGAAAGCGTACTACACATTTGATGTGTGTACTGTATGAATAGGCCTGTATCTCTTAATATTCTCTATCAGTAAACTGTACTAAGTGTACACTCAGGTTAAGATAGTATTCAGTAGTAACTTTATATACTAACGTAAAATTTTTCTTTCTTTTAATTTGTACTGCTAACAAATTTTTCTATCTGACATTGAAAATGGTTTAAATAGGAACAAACTAACGCAATTAGAATTTATACAAGTAGATCCATAAAACATGAGGTTTCTCAAAAAGATCTCGATTAAAAAGTTACCCTTACACTAGTAAACGCTAATTATGTCTTTAAATAATTATTACTAGGTGAACACTCTACCTCCTGTAACCAAAGCTTGAACACTTCTTGTTGCTTGCTCCAGGTTCAGGTCAATATTCTCCAATATGTTCTGCTCATGTAATCCACTCAGATACTCCTAATCAAACATTACATGTGACAAAAACTCTAAAATTCTGCTGAAGGCTAAAAATAACTATATATGAATAATTATTGAAACTCAAAATACCAATCATCCCCCACGCCCTAGAAAATATCAGAGAACAATTTCGAGTGATTTCGGAAATTTCTGTTAACAGCAAACCTTTCCATGCATCCATGTAATATTCAGGCTATTGTATTTTCAAGACGGAAATGTTTTTTTAAATATAAGGGACTGTAAAGGAAAAATAAAAGGGGGAAGCTAATCACTTTTGCTCTTGATCGCGACCCATGAAAGTTATATCTGATGTTCCTGTCTCGGGAAATTGATATAAAACTGTGTAAAATTTATACGAAAATTCCTAAATATTTTTGAATTTGTTCTCCTCTTATTTATATTTCATCATTAGGTAAACAGTATTAAGATGTGTACATTTTTTATATGTTTGTTAACTTCTTTACAATTTAAAAAAACTGAATAATCAAAACTTGTAAAATAAAAAAAATGGTTTTTCATTAGTTGACATGCATCGTTAAAATCACCAGGACGATCCGAATATAGTCGTTGAAGCGCAGTGACCCGGTAGGAAGAAGTTCGGTCAACTTGAGACTGCTCAGGTACAAATACGCTATCTCAGTTCTAAAATAACAATCAGCTAGAAATAAGACATTTCCCATACATTAGCCTTGCAAAATTCTGCTGAAGCTCCAATCAGAAGTTGAAGATGCTCGTTCTATTGAAGAATTGAGGATGAACATTGAACAATGAGAACGCACATTAAGGCATATATTGCAACTTTATCAAATGGGATAATTACTTAATTATAGTTTCAACATATAAACTGTATGACATTGTTTCTTTGCTAAATGTAACCTTTCCAGGGAATTATAAAAAAAAGTATCGAAAAAAATATGTTGAGGTTTTCAGGGTTCGAACATTTACAAGTTATTAGTTTAGAAAATCATTGAGGATCGAATATTTACCTTGATATATTTACAACATCTTCAAGTAGTAGAATACAATCCATCGAGGTTCGAATATTGACTTGAACATCTTCGAAATATCCGCTCTTAACATAAAACATAAAACCAATAAACCGTCGAGGTCAAATTGTTTTTTAAAATCTTATTTTGCCAAATCAGAAACCAAATTAATTTAACCATAGAACAAAATTCCGATAATTAATAATCTTTTTCCTAAACCCCCCTGAAACTTTATTTATTTTCTTTGTGATACAAATCTAAAAAATTCCATGAATTTTGAATTTTGATAAACCCAATGGGCTTCTCATCAACAATTTTCAAAATGAATAGCAAATTTGTAAAAATCTTAGTATTTCTTGCAAAATCCAATTATTTAGAAGATTTGAAAAACAATATATCAAAATGTGCAAATCCTCTTAATAATCGTTTGTGCAATAACTTGTTCAATCTGCATCCTTTTGTCATAGGCTTTCCTGAGCTATAAAATGTTGAAATCCAATGACTGGAATTAGGTATATAAACATAGATTTAGTTTGGTAAAGGTAAAATAAGGCATTCAGGCAGAATCCAAGATATTAGCATAAACTTAAGGGTTAATTAGTTTACCTCCTCGTCAGAATCTGAATCAAAGTCCTCTGCAATATGCCGTGCTCGATTCGCGCTGACAACAAAAGTTAGTAAATGGATAATAAAATAATGATAAGAAATAAAAATTGGACAGCAGATTGCCGACCATTAACACAAAAGAAAAGACTTAACTTGATGAGTATGATACTTTTCACACCCACCCTTTCTAACTCAGCCTTCACGAAATTTGTTGTTGTTTTTCAAGCTAAATTATGTATATTTTTCTTGAAATTTATTCCAAACGATATGGTTAAAAAGGTATTGTTCCACTCAAAATCAAAGAAATTTAGCAACATAAAATAACAGATTAGTTCCACGCAAAACTCCATGGTGAAGAATTTATTTAATTTGAAGACAGAAAATGATTTCACAGGAAAATGCAAACCACTGTTATCTAAGTGTACAAGGACCGAATTTAATGAATTGGAGATAGGTCGCTGAACTACTAGCCTCTACGCCAGTTCAAATCAAATCAATCCTATATCACCGATTCAAAGTTCATAATTTTTAAGAGCCCTAATTTAAAGTCAGCTGAGAAACTTTCCGACAATTCCAAACAATCAGAGCGCCGCAAATATTGGGTTTATCAATCTATTGACTGAGACAGAATTTTAACAGCAATTAAAAACTTAAAGTTGAACTAGCCATAGAAGATACATAATTGAACCGTCTCTATGTAGTTCAACGACTTCTAAAGAGTTGATTAAATTCGATCTTAAGCCAAGTGATTTTATACTTAGTAATATCCCCTCCATTCTCCTGAACTGTAGAGATTAGTTCTCGTCTCTCAAACCTTTGGATTCCCTCATTTAGCCTCGTATTCATACACTCACACGGGTTCTACACCAAACAATATATCAATTAATCAATTAATAAGTTCATTAGCAATCAACTAATCGAGCCTCGTATTCATACACTCACACGGGTTCTACACCAAACAATATATCAATTAATCAATCAATAAGTTCATTAGCAATCAACTAATCTAGCCTCGTATTCATACACTCACACGGGTTCTACACCAAACAATATATCAATTAATCAATCAATAACTTCATTAGCAATCAACTAATCTAGCCTCGTATTCATACACTCACACGGGTTCTACACCAAACAATATATCAATTAATCAATCAATAGGTTCATTAGCAATCAACTAATCTAGCCTCATATTCTACACTCACACGGGTTCTACACCAAACAATATATCAATTAATCAATCAATAGGTTCATTAGCAATCAACTACTTACTACTCAAAACAAATCATCCATCGACCAAGCAGCCAAGCAACAAACAAAGCCCTCAACCAAACATAGAAAGCAAGCAAGCATAGGTCGGCCCTGTAAAACTGTTTAGAGGTGCTCTTTTTCTTCAGAATTGATATATATGAAACTGAGAAAAATCAAAAGCATTTTCTTTTTCTGTTAATTATTTCGTGTGCCGCCAGAAATAAGTGAATTTTTTGTCCATTTTGGTCCATTTCTTAATTTCAAAGTTAAAATTTTCGCCAAATCCTGATTTTTTAATTTAGAAAGATGTTTTTATCATTTTGGAAATTTCAATTACTGTTCTAAAAGACAAATTAATTAAAAATCTAATAAACGAAATTTCAAATAATATATTTTTTTACAACTTTGTCTCTTTGTACAGTATTTGGGATTTTCATAATGATATAAAACAATATTATAAGTTTAAAATTAAGGATTTGGCGAAAATTTTAACTCTCAAATTAAAAAATGTCCAAAAATGGCCAAAAATTCTCGTTGTTTTCTTGCGGTACGCGAAAAATGGTCAAAAAAAGAGCACCTTTGAACAACTAATACAGGGCCACCCTAAGCAAGATACGGTGGAATCCACCAACCATGCTACAAAACAAGCCACCAAGTAACCAACGTACCTGAAATTTGATCAAATTTAAAATGAATTCTGCTCTCTCTAATATACATGCTCTCCTAAGGTTAACACCAGATCTCCCTCTGAAACAAGAATTCAATTGAGTAACTAAACATCAAATCGAAAGGAATCTGTAAATGAATGAGAGGGATGGATTGCTGACCAAGGCCAAGAGGTAGATTGCGTTGGACCCTTTTAACAATTCAGAATTAGGAGAAGCTTCTCAACGAGCAAATTATGTTTAAAATTAAGTGAGACTTGCTTGTAATCGGATTTTCAAGATTGAGACCATTTTTTATATTTACGTACAATTTCCGATTGAATGAGTCCAATTTTAGGCTTGTAGATCTAAACATAATCATTTTTTTGGCTCTAAGTTTCCAACTGGAGCGAAGTAGAAAATAAAAAATAATCTCTGTTTGCACGATTTTATGTTCTATGTTAGGTCACAGTTTATTACAGTATAATTGTCATTTCAGATCTACGAGCCTAAAATTGGGCTCATCGTATTGGATTTAATGTGAGAGTGATAAACCCATGGAACAGTTTACCAGACTATGTTAAAGAGTCTAAAACCTAAAACATTTTCAAGAACAGTTACGATGATCGTGTGAAAAATGTCGAGCATATAAAGTGAAAAATATCAAGCTTAAGAATCGCTTTTTATTACCAAAAATGGTATCTAAGCTAAACCAGAACAATATAACAATATAACAATATTGTACGTAAATTTTAAAAATGGTCTTGATTTTGAACTTACGATTACAAACGTGTCTATAGAACCTTTTTCTCCATTTTTTTGGGACACCCTGTATATCCTTACATTCGCAGGAGAAACTATACTGTTACACAGAGATCTTGAAACCTGATAAAACCCCAACAGAAGACATTTGGATCAGCGTGCGAGAAAACCAAACCGCCAGCGAATGTAAGATTTATATTAGAATGCTTGGGACACCGTTGTGTTTCGTAAAATATAGTCATGCCTTTTGAAACAGGTGTTTAAAGCTTTTATAAAGTTCTCATATAATATTTCAAATCCTTTCATCTGGTCGTAAGATTTCGCCCTTCATAACATTTTGAAATATTGGATTTTAAGGTATTCTGTCAAATAACTTTATCTCGTCACAACATTTTACCATTCATCACATTTTATAAATATATTTTGGTAAAATTTTGGTGAAATATGTTGAGAAGAAATATATATATATAATTCTAGTGCTAGAGAGTAGGGTTGGGATTTGTTTAAAAACGATCTAAAGTATAAATATATCATGCTAATTATGTTTATATTTTCAGCTTCACAGCTTGTTGATGATCAAGAAATAAACTCTAAAACTATAGACTACACTTCATCATTTCTGTGTATGGGGTGGCGTAAAAAACACTGGTTAAATAGTTATGCACATCTATTATTCCGACGCTAAAAATTAAATTGAGAGACGCTAAAAGCTGAAAAGTTCACACTATGGATGTTATTTGCTTCAAAACTATTAACTGATTATCCAAGACACGCAGAAAAAAGTACATTTATTTTTTTTTCTTTAAAATAATTTATCAAATTCAGCAACTATAAAGCAAAAAAGTTTATCGAAGAAAAATGATTATATTAAGAGATGGGAGGGGGGGGGGTGATATAAAGTTAAAATACACCCCTGTGAAAGTGTAGTAGAAAGTGTGCTAGACCTACCCGTATAATCTGAGTGGGCCGGGTAGAAGTGAGAGTATTGAGACTGCCAGGACGGATTCTATAATGAAATATTTCTCCAGGATAGAAGTATCCACTGTAGTAAGATCCCGTCTCCAGGTGTCCTCTAGAATACTCTCCGTCTCGCCGGAGAAGGATAAATCTCCGCCTTCTCTCCAAACAATCTCTCTAAATATTTAAATTTGAAAATTCAATCGGGATAAACACGATAATGATTTTAAAAGTGTTGTTAGATGGGGGGAGGGAGAGTAGAGTTACTTCCCTTTCACATAAAATTATTAAAAACCAGTAAACTATGTTACAGTGTGCGAAATGCAAATAATTATTTAAAAAATATTCCTGAGATTCAACTTTTACAAAAAAAAAAAAATAGTAAGTCTTGAGAGAAGAAAAAAGATGCCCAAAGGGGAAAATTCAATTTTAATTTTTAAAATATGTTATTCCTTATTTATGAAACTGAAGAACTGGTCGCCAGCCTACCTTAGTTGGTGTATTCTCTGCATATATCCAGGTTCCTCTTGAGGAAGTAGACTAGGATACTTCTTGATAAATGCAACACACTCAACCAGGTCGGCCTTCTCCAGCAATCTACTGAACATACAAACATTAACTGCTTAGATTCAACATTTTACGGACTAAATAAGCATCACAGAGTTCAGAGGTTGAAACTTGTGCATTGAGTATTGTTAATCTTAAACGCTTGAACTCAATATATAATTTGGATACTTAAAATAGAGTATAAAGTTAAAATTATTTCTACAGGGTATGACCATCACGGACTTGAAATAATCCGTATGTCTGAATCCCAAGGTTCACAACACAAAAGTTCTAACTTCAGAGAATTTAAAATCATTTTAAACGAATCTCAAGAAAACATGATGGTAAAATTAAAAACTAAAAACAATTAGGGTAGGCTTTGTTATTACCCTAAACCTAATAATTTACCTGGTGTATTGAATATGCTTCCACAACGACGAAACCGGATCGTCAGACCTAAGAGACAAGCTATATTACTTCATCAGATTTTTAAATTCTGAATCCAGAAAAGATAGAAAACCTTTTATTTATTAGTTTCATTTATAATACTAATAGTTATAAAGAAAAGAATTTCAGTTTTCTTGGGAAAATATAGGAAAGAAAAAAGTAGATTTCTATCTTGTATTCTTGCAGTCTTGAGAAATATTAAAGAGAAAAAGGTAGATATATAATTAATACCTTGTATTCTTGAGGAGATATTGAAGAGAAAAAGGTAGATATATAAATATACCTTGTATTCTTGAGGAGATATTGAAGAAAAAAAAGAAGAAAAAAACCTTGTATTCTTGAGGAAATATTGAAGAGAAAAAGGTTGACTGAAATCTATTCTTAGCTGTTCTTGATTCCAGCTTTCAGCTGCCTGTATTATCAGAACATCCTGTAATAGCGAAGAATGATGACGATGAAGATATTTTTAACAATAAACTTTTTTTCCTGGATAAAGTAAAACTAGGAAACAAAAAACCCAAGTTTTTCATTTCCAAAGTTAGCACATTTTTACTGGAATTTGAACTAGAAGCAGCAGGAAACTAGGGAATTAGGGAACTATGAAACTAAGGAACCTAGGAAACTAGGGAACTATGAAACTATGAAACTATGAAACTATGAAACTATGAAACTATGAAACTATGAAACTATGAAACTATGAAACTAGGGAACTATGAAACTATGAAACTATGAAAACTATGAAAACTATGAAACTATGAAAACTATGAAACTATGAAACTATGAAACTATGAAACTAGGGAACTAGGGAACTAGGGAACTAGGGAACTAGGGAACTAGGGAACTAGGGAACTAGGAAACTAGGTAACTATTAACTCTATGAAGTAAAAAAAAAAATCAGAGGCAGACAAAGCACTGATTTGTAATGGTGTCTAGGCAGTGCTCATTAAAAAAAAAGGGATAAACTCTCTCCCTATCAACGGAACAATAATAATAGTAATAGCAGTTAAATCTCCAGCGCCCGGTCCAATCAGTGTCACATATCATATTTAATATGAACCTCAGTAATAACCAGAATAAAGCGAAATAAAAGTCGTCTTTGTTCGGTTTTTGAAATAGAAATGCGCCAAAGTCAGAAAAGTTACAAATTACAAAATATCGCTTTATCCAAATGAATCTAGAGAGTAAATACTCCAGGTTTACCTTGTTCTCTGAGACCATGTGATGCATATTACTGGAGCTAAGCTCGGAGATAATAATCTTCCTTCCTCCATACTCTCCTAATCCTTCATCCTTTGCTCCAAGATCATTATCTGAACAAATATAACTTGAAAACTGATCTAATCATTTGATAATATGTATCATAGATCGTTTTATTCATAAATAATGTGTTAGAACCCAGAAATTGATGATATTTAGATAAAGTTTTAAACAATAAAAAATGTAGGTTTCTTAATTTGAAATAATACTGGGATCGAAATTAATGAATTATAGCTGGGTCGCTTGACTACCTACCGCCACTTCAAATCTTGAATCACCGATTCAGAGTTAAAATTGTATGAGGATTTGGCGGTTTGTGGTACAGAGACCTCTTACATTCGGTCCCAGAGGCCGTTCTTTTCATAAACTACATTGGTCGGCAACTTGACGTCTCCAATATTGGTCGTCAAGTGTACGGAGAAATATATATCTATCAGATAAGAATTTAGCATAAGACATCTAGCGGCCAACAAAGCGACCCCCAAAGAACGTGAACTACACGACCACTATCTATCTACGGGCTCAGGTAACTACTGTAAAAATATTTTTGAATATGTACGCCCGCGTTTTCAAATAATCAAAATAGAAATTCCTTTCATCCCTAATTCTACTTATATATTTAATGTTTACCCTTGATTACTGAAACTCCTAACTGTGAGAGAAGAATTTCTTCCACTCTACTTAAATTAAGCTTCTCCGTAGAAACCTAAAAATCTCACGATTCATTGATTGACATTGAAAATTTATAAAAGAACTCTACTCATTATTTAAATTTGCCATTGTACATGTACAATATCTGTAAATTTGAACAATGTATAATTCAAATTTAAGTATTAAACAACAATTAACGATGTTTTTTCAAAACTCGAAAAAGATAATTTAATAATCTAGATTCAGAAATTTTTTTGCCTGAATTTGTATCGAGGCGAATCCAGCTATTATCAGTGCAACACAGATACTAAAATAATATCACATATAAGATGCTGATGTAAAATTACTATTTTTATAATATTTTATATATTTTAATAATTTTTAACTCTAAAATTAATTTTTGTATATACAGTTAAAAAGGTATTGGCGCAGAAATTATTTAATGTATTTAGTTTTAATCTAAAAATTTACAGGGGTAAACATGGTCCATCTTTATAAAACATCATATTGGAATTGTTTAGGAATTTATGTTTCAGTTGTTGTAGTTAACTATTTGGAGATAGGAACCCCCTGTCATTCATCGTCCGACGTCCCTTTTATTAATCTTTTTTTTAAATCCATATTCGGTGAACACCTGAGAATGGTTTCCACTGCTGGTTCTGGGATAAGGATGTGAACTGATGTATCCGACTCTATAGATCCCAGACACCTGGAGATAAACTCAAACTGACCTAGAAACATATTATTACTATTAGCCAGTGCTTAGGATCCACAATATTTTGGCTTACTGGATCCGGATCCACAAAAATATAATTGGTCATGTGGCTGCAGCGCCCGGCCCCCTAGCCTATCGAAGCCGCGGCGCTAGACCTCTAGCCTGTCTAAGACGCAGCGCTTGGCCCAGGGTCTAAAAATCGTTCTCTTGGACAGACCTAATAAATGTTCATGACCTGAGCCCGAATTTTCCCATCCGTGCTTTTTGTAAACATATGATGTCTTCACTTACTCACGGTGAAACACAACCCCTCTCAGCAAAAACAAATAGAAAGCATAGTAAAATTAGATTAAGCATAGTAAAATTAGATTATGTGCTGACACCTATACTTTGGGTGACATTTAGCAGACAAACACAAGGCCGGTTCTAGAAAGATGACTCTTAAGAGTGGTAGAAGAGCGGTATTATCTAAAACCGCTCTTATAATGCTAATACCAGTGTTTAGGAAATACGGATTCTTTAGACGCTAATGCTGCCTAATTCGGGGTTGGATTATCTAGCCTAGAACAGCTGACGAGTTCTTTAATCATCCTAGCTAATACCAGTTTTATCATCCATCCTCTAGAAATTTGACTTTCCAGCGCACGCTCGAGCACTTAACTCTGCAAAAAAATTTATAATAATTAAAGACTAATTTTAATAATATATTCTTTATTTTTGTTGAAAGATTCATGGAAATATTTAATTATCAATATTTATTTATTTTAATTGAATTTAAGTTTTAATGTTCAAATAAATTACATTTCTTAAAGCAAGAAATTTTTTTATGCTTTTTTCTTCATACCTTTTTTTGCTAATTATTTTAAGTTTACCTCGAGAGGGAGGGGGATTATAAATTATTTTCCATTTTGAAAGTAGTCATTCGTTTTTTTAACCCTGTAATTCAATGGGCGCATTACAATTTTCTTTTCTCGGGATATCTACCCAAACCAAAATAATACCAGCATATAGGGTAGATTATCCTACCTAAATCAACCTTGTGGCTGGATTTAGGTAACACCACTCTTTGTAATACCGGTATCATGCATAATACCAGTATTTACACTTCTAAAGAACACATATGGTAGATGATCTACCCTTAATACCACTAAGCAGGATTTGTTAAGAGTGGTATTTTCCTCACTAGAACCAGCCTACGATAAAACACGGAGACATACAAAAAACGCCTTAAATACGCCCGTTAAGTTGGCAAGATACGGGCTCAGGATCCGGTTCCATTTAATTCCAGGATCCGGATCTGGATCCGCATCAAAATCAAGTGGATCCTCATCAGTGCTATTAGCACCAGTCTGGGCTGAAAAATGAAAATGATTTTATAGGAAAATGTTAAAAAGTTATACCTGGATGAAAGATTATACTAGATCTAAGTCTTTTTAAGTACTGTGTACAGGACCAAACTGTAATCTTCTGATATATACTCCTAAACGACAAAAAAAAAACTTTTAAATCAGACAATCCAAAAAAACCTTGCCTCTTCCGAATTTAAAAAAAATCTTTAATAATGAACCTTAACCAAAACTATCCTATTAATAATTCAAATATTTTTTACTTCATAAAATATCCATAAAAACTTGTAAGTTTACATCGAACAAACAATAAATTACATATCCTTCTCGTCAGGAATAAATACTTTTTAAAAACTCAAAGGACGAATAAAGTTTCTAAAATATTACAATGAGTTCTTGATTTCCAGGTTGGAGTAGTTTTCCAGTATATCAACCAAAGGAAGCAGCGTCTAGTTTTTTTTAATATTAGAATCTTGAATTTCATAAACCCCAAAAAAATATTAGCGTCTCATCATTGCTTATTGATTTTAAACCATTAAATTATAATCCAAAATAAAACTTTTGTTCAAGTTAGTGTGGGGGGCCGGGGAGTCTCTCCAGTTATCAGGCTAGCTAGTGGGTGAGGGTTAAAAAGAGCTTGAAAAAGCAGGTTCATATTTTTTCTTGTTAAATCAATAAAAAATGGGATCTTAGGGGAAGAAGAAAATAAAAAAGTTGGAAATTGAATTGGATTTGATCCAAGTTATATCAAGGGAAGATTCTAGTTCCTGGTTTATCTGATCAATTGGGTTGAGTGATTCAAAGCAAGAGCACAAATCTAAATTTATAAAAATTCATTTAATAAAACTTGATTGTCGATATACAGTCCAGATATTTATTGAGCTAAGATGTAAAACGACTTTATATTAGGCCGTTTTAATGGAGACAGTGGTATTTTCCTGGACATCCTCTGTCTTAGCCTAAACGCTCGCCCCCCCCCCCTTGTCTATTCTGTTCTAACTGCAAGCTCTCCCTGTAAGTGCCAACCTAACCCTAAAGGGAGGGTTGCGTGAGAAAGGGGGGGAGTCGATTATTAAAGTTTCGTTCACTTATATTACCAGGGAATAATGGTCGGAATTCTTTGATAGTTGTGTAGAGTGGACTAAACTTGAAGGTACCCGCCTGTCCACATTTATCATTCAAACTTTCCCTACAAATATTATATAAGTCTCTGAATTCAAGTGATGGTTAATGAATAAAATGACGCAAGATAAAATTAAATATCGTCAACTTACCCCCGACTTTTCTTTATTCCAAGGTTCTCCATCTTCAATAGGAAACAAAAACAAAATTTCTTAGACTCAAAGCGCCATAACGTTCTTCATTGATCGACAACTGTGAATAAATGATTCAAATACTGCACTGTGTCAAGACTCAAGTCAATGAAAATTTTCGCTTTAGCACAATTGCCCCGTCAAATTTAACATAACTTCTTGGTTCCGATGCTACATCATCGGAACTAAAATTCGAAGTATAAGAAAATTCAGAGGCGTTCGAGGAGGGGGGTGGATCCGCATTTGAACTACTGCCGTTTGAACTATGGTACGTTTGAACTATTGTTCGTTTGAACTATTGTTCATTTGAACTACTGACATGACGTCATATCCTGTAGTTTAAATCAACGCATTTCTTGCTCATTTGAACTATTTTTCTACCCCAATTCAGTTTTTAAATTTTTTTTATAATCTCCATAAAGTTATATTCATGACAATTAATTAGATAAACATTACACAGAATGAACATAAAAATAGTTCAAATGAACATAAAAATAGTTCAAATGAACATAAAAATAGTTCAAATGAA